ATTGCAGCCAATCAACGCGGCTTGTAACTCGCATTTATCTAGAGGGAGGGTGATGATAGAGAAACAGCCGCCTACCATTGTTGACCTTCCATATAGAGACCTTGCGATCCAGTCCACCGCTAGCGAAGAGCGAACCGGAGGGGTTGAATCGGACGCTATTCACGTCCTCCGTCAAATCCTATAAAGGGGAGTGGTGGACATGGAATAAAGCCTCCTTAAGTGAATTAGACTTACCGCTTTAGCTTGGGCCTTAGTGGGCACCGTAGAAAACTTTTCAGGGTTTTCAGTGGTTTGTCCTTCAATACTGACTTGGGCGGTTGCTGCATCCAAAAGACCCTTCTGAACGGCTTCGCGTTGAAGACTGGGAAGTACACGTGTAATTTTTTAGCGAATTATAAAGCTTTAAAGGTGTCTAGCTTTACGTGCAGGCAACTTAAACGAATAGGAATTCTCGGCAGATTTTAATAATCCCTTTGAGCCAATTGCATAAAACTCAGCAGCCTTAGTGGGGTTCGAACCCACTTCAGCGTAGTCAAGGCTGAAGCACAGCTAACGCTTTAGCCAACTGAGCTACCAGGCGCCCGCCGAGAAGCGTTGTTTAATTACATTTGCCTACCGTGACGTATGGAATCCATTAATTCTGATAAGTAAACTAATTGCCCAAGCAGGATTTCCCAAACAATTCATCTAATCTCCGCCAGATGACTACCAGACTCGCCTAATTAATAGGTATTTTGGGCACATTTGAATAATTCATTTAGCTCAAAGCTACCAGTGGGACTTAAAAACTGAGGTGGTTATTGTGTTGGCTGTACACATACACTGTGGCTGTGGTGCATTCGAATTTCACCGGAGCCGTCGAATGGTTTATACGTGGATCAAATGAACTTAAAAGAAGTTATAAAAACTTAATAAAAAGACTAGGAGTGTTATCAATAAAACTGAAAAAGCTTATTCGCTTAAATTCAATAAGTGGCCTCGAGTAACTGTGTTTAAAGCGTTTAAGTAGATCTGCGACCACTTCTGAGAAGTCGAAAAGTATCAAAAAAACATACTAGAAACTACCTACCGGAACTTCACGTCAGATTCAAAGTTCTTTAACTCCTCAACTTGCTGCTGGAGAATTCTAATTTGGCGCATGAGTTTTGCATTATTCTCTTCCAGAACCCGGTTTTTAGACTCCACTGACTGCACAGTCAGCATTGTGGCCGCCTGTTCATCCAACAGCACCTAAAACAAGGAAGGACATATGCTTTTTGATGATGATGATGATGATGATGATGATGATGATGATGATGATGATGATGAAAGATGATGATGATGATGATGATGATGATGATGATGATGATGATGATGATGAATGATGATGATGATGATGATGATGATGATGATGATGATGATGATGATGATGCTGCCCTGTATTTGCTGGCTTTTTAGTTTCATACAGAAGTGATCAATGAGCTTTGAGAAATATCGTGGGAAGAGGATGTTCCAGTATATTTGCCTGCCTGTTTGTACGTATTCGAGTTGAAAACGATCAGTATCAGCAGCAAACTGTATGGTTGTACTTTCAAATCTAACAGCAGTCTACTGTCGGACCAAGTTGATGTCCAAAACGACTAACATCTAAAGACTCAGATAAATGTAGAATTCGGGACCTCTAATTCAGTATCCATACGCGACGGAGGCGTTTTTAGGAAACAGGAAGTCAGCGGTTAAAAATGATCCAGAATGTCAGTGTTATTAGCGTGCGTAGCAAAGACAACGCAAAGAATGGGTACGCCTACATACCTGGTTAGCTTTCTTCACTTCACTGAGTTCACTCAAGCAGGCGCGGTTGCGTTCTTTCAGGTCCCCGACAATCTCTTCAAGTCTCGCAATGCTGTAAGAACTTAGCATGAAAATAAAACACTCCTCTTCTACCTCTGTGCCTGCTTTTGTACAACTTGGTCCTTTGTCTGGATCGTTTTAGTTAAGTTGATAACCTCAGAGGCCAGCTGAAGAGAAGACGCGTTGAAAAAAATGAAGGCTGAAGTACCTTTCCTTTCTCTCGATGAAGTTCAGTAACCTCCTCCTGAAGGCGGAATAATTTATCCTTTGTTTCTTGTGAATCAATTGGGTTCCTTGGGATGATGATGATGAAGTATATGGAAAAGGTTTGACAAACCTCAGTTCTGTTTTGACTGCAAGTGCCTGATTTTCTTTTTGTAACAAATTATTTGTTCTGTGAAGTTGGGCACATTCATCGTGGAGCTTGAGC